GTTGACACTTTGCAAAATGGCCCATTTGGCTGGTTGATACACCCACGTGTCTTCTGTTTAAAAATGTTGATTTGCCTGCCTCCTGGAGCACATCGCAGCTACCTCGCGTTACATCCCTAAAGTCCCCGTTTCATTGAGTTCCACGGTACTGAACTCCTTATTTCCGAGAACTGAGATGGCTGCTCCACCAACCAGCTCAGAATATGCTCTGGGTATAAATCTAGCTCAAGGGTAAGAGTGGGTGGGCTGGGAATGTGGATGTGTCAACAAGATGCTCAATTGGTATTTTCTCCAAAAGCTCTTGCCTTGTTTTCTTTGAGAGAAATTCATTTTTAGCTTATGAGCTAAATCCAATTTTCGTTGCAGTGATACAGATTTTTCACTTTGATTTATGCTGGATAAGGTTTAAGAGGGAACCTTTTCAGTATAATGAACCTGTGGGTTTTTCCTTCCTCGCCTCGTTCCTGCCATGAACTGAGGATTTATACTATAGCCACAAATAAACTCGAATACTTTCTATTGTTCCTCATTGACAATCTGTTTACACATTTATTAACCTCAAGTTGAACTAGAAAAAAAATCAAATTTCCAGTGTTTGGGTTCAGAAATACCCACACTTTGTTGTTTTTTTTTTTTTTCCTCCTAATATTGTTCTTTAATTAACCAAGAGGCATTTACAGATATTGGAGAGGTTGACAGGTTTAATTTTTATGTAACATCGATTTAAACATTTTATTTAACATTAATTCCAAAAATGGAAAAGCCATTGGAGTTTTCACTCAGCATTTTGCATTTGCTTCATTCAACACGCAGTGCCAGTTACAGGATCCAAACCCCTAAAGGAAGGTATTAATTGATAACGCGATAACTTAGACTCAACAAGAGATAAGTCTCATGTCACGAAGTAAGCATACATTTGATTGAGATCTTTTTTTTCTATACAGTGGAAGCATTTGTGTCTTGTTTAATTTGTATCTGAATCATCTGTCCAGGTGTGTGTTTTAAATATACACTTAGCTGTGTCCCAGCATCTGCAAACCACTGTCCCTGGTAGGCAAGTAAGAAAAATATCCATTCTTTCCATTCTATGCTGATTTTAAAGGAAGTATGATAAACAGTAGTGGGTTTTTTTGTTTGTTTGTTTGTTTTGTCCTTGAAAGTGACCATTTCTCTTGGTGGCATTAAGAGAAAAATCCTAAACCAGCCACTGAGAGAGAAAAAATCATCTAAGAGAAATGGGAGGAAATGCAGAAGGTGGAGTTACAAGTCGGATGCGTTTGGAATTACGAATTTTTTTCTGTTGCTCCTTGTGACACAGGCTTACTGTTGTTGCCGGATTGTCAGAGAGCGTTGTCTAGGGTCTATAGGGAGGAAGAGATGTGACTAAATACCTTTTAGTAGGCGGTGCCTGTCTGGGGGCAAATGTTTGAGTCCTGCTTTCCCCCCCAACAAGCAGTGTTTCCAGACCCTGACAGCGTGCTGTAGTACAAGTGAATTGAAGGTAACCAAGGGCTCTGATGGCTCCAAGTGTGGTGTGTGTGTTCGAGCTGCCTCTCCTTCCGTGGATAGCATACCTGTTCTGAGTCTCGTTTGATATTTCTGAGCCAATGCAACACCCAAAAGGATGAAAGCAGAAATTATCTTGTTTGGGATTGTGACTCAGATCCAGTTGTGTCACTTGAGTACTTGACAAATGCTGGGCAGGCCCCTTTGTACATGGGACAGTGTCATGGACAGTGGGCGGTGAAGAAGAGACCTCTGTTCTCTCGGAAGGACGGAGACAGGTGTGTAAGCACACAGGGCCAGGTGGCCGATGCCTGGTGGGTGCCAGCCCGTCTTGCTCCCGGGCGAGCAGGCTGCAGGGAGATGTCCGCCCTCACCCAGCTTGCATTCCAGCACTGGCGAGACCCCTTGTCTTTCGTCTCTGATCCAACCTACGTTATGTTTCCATGCACCAGGGGAGTATCAGGGCAGCCTTCCTTAGAAAATTAGAATTCCTAAAAAAGAGGATAAAGAAGGATGAAAATGCAGAAAGCAATAAATAATTAAATGAAGGGAGGGAAAGAAAGAGGATGGAGGGAGTGATGGAAGGAGAAAGGAAGCTACAGAAAGAGAGAAGAACTGCTCATTGATCCTGAGGACTCGCTGGAGACTTCACGAAGGGCCAGTTCTAGACTAACCGCAAGAAAGGAACAGCTGGGGAAACCGTCTGCCTTAAATTCTCCACCCTGTCTGTAGGAAGCCTCTGGCCCCAAACCTGATCTGTGGAACCTCCTTGTTTTGCCTGAGGGCACTTGACCTCCCAGAAAGGTGCCGTTTGAGCCCGGAGTTGATTCTTAGTCCTGTCTGTGTGTTCCTTTAACAAAATAAGATGTCTACCCATGTGCCCTGCATGGGGGAGCCCAAAGGGTCTCCCTAGTAAGACTTGTAAACAGCTAATCCTGCACCCGGGAAGACATTCTCCCCTATAACAAAGAGGGTACAAAATAGAATTCTGACTCTAGCCTTTTAACAGCATGTGTTCCCTCACTGGATTGCTGAGCTTCTGTTTCATGTTATATCTCACATCTAAATCCTCCAAGAATTATTGTAAAACCTGCTTGTCGCTGAGAGGGGGCTTGTCTCGCTCACGAGCACTGTAGCCGGTGATAATGAATGGGTCAGCATAATTACCGTGTTTCTCTGCACAGCCAGCCAGCTGCTCTGCCAGATTGTGAATTTTTCATTTTCTTTATTTCGAAATCCAGGGTGTTCCCATGAAAACTTAATATTTGAACTGTGGCAAGATAGATTTGGAGTCAAAGCCATTCCCACTCATTTCCTCCCCGGGCCTGAAGCAAGCGTCCCCTATCTCATTACTCGCAGGCTTTTATGAGATTAGGATTTACCTGCTTCCTCATCACAACCCACACCCTCCGCGGTTCTAACCATGCTTATCAGAACGAGGTCCAGGGAACTCAGGTGCTAGGGGCTGGCGAGAGGATTCAGTAAAACGGCATGATTTGTCTTTAATAACATTCAAAAGTAAAAGTTGAAAACAACCTTTATGGTCTTGTCAGAGACGAATAGAAAGATAGAATCATTCTGGCTTAATTTGACAATCGGTGAATTTTACCCCCACGGGGAGAGAAAGATGTAGTGGAATCCATCAAACAGAACGGCTGCCGGATGGTCAAAAACTGACAGGGAATCCCAGATAATGATAAACCGCTTGATCGTCGCTTTGAGTTCCAGGGTTTTCTTCCAACCCGTAGAATTCTATGGGGAATTTAGAATGGCTTCCGTGGGAAGCACCACTGTCCTTCCACCCACTCCACGTCTCCCCCCACATAGTACACACAGCCTCTGTCCAGGTGCGGGTGTAATTCCTAGCTCTCCAGGGTCAACACGTGGCCGCACCCCCAACCTGAGTAGTCTCAGGCACCCTTCCTTTTCTTCCCAGTGTTCTCCTCTGCCTCCCCTGTGCCTTCCACATCCCTCACCTGGGTCCATGCATTCGTATACACAGCAGGTGATGAGAAGGTGGGTAGGTTGTAAAATGCTTCTGCTCCCAAAGGTGATGGCAGGGAGGGGCAAATCCCCTGGGGGCAGTTGGATACAGGGTGGAGTCAATTCAACCAGATGGGAACTGCAGACCCTGCTGGAGGTTAAGGTGTTCTACAGAAGCCTGGAAAAAGGAAGAGTGCAGGTCCTGGGTCACCTGAGCCTTTGCTGTGGCTCTCCTGGGACAGCAGCTTCCCAAATGCATTTTCTCAGCAAAGAAAGTACTTGCCTCTGTGGGACAGGGTTTGGGAAACACTGCCTGTGCCTCCTGGGATGGGGCAGCCACAGTATGGCCAAACCACTGTGAGGTTCTGAGAGGCCAAAGTGGTTTGTTTCTTAGCCCCAGTGGCTCTGATGGGTGAGGATGTGCGTGCCCTGGGAGCAAGGACATCCCAGGTAGAGTGAGAAGAATTAATTACCAGGCTTCATTCCCTTCCAGACTCCTTACCACAGCATCCTGCTCAGAGAATTGTCCCCCCGGGAAGCACTCCCTGCCCACACTCTCTTTTTAAGGGTTGAGTTCCCAGATTATTGTAATTATGGTGGTTGTATTTGCCGCATAGGAGGTTAGGGACCATAGGACGAGTTGGTAATCATCTGTTTCTTAGGGCACATGTGGTTTGCACACTTTACAGACGTGTGCAAAGGCATACTTCCATTAAAAGTTTTAATGAACAATATATGTGCATAAAGGGAGATACGGAAAGTAAATAAAAAGGGGATGGAGAAAAACTATGAATAAAAAATTCACACTCATGCAGTTTGTCCCCAGAGATAACTACTAGCATGTGGAAATACATGTGTGTATGTATAACCAAATATGTACATGTGTGCATAATATAAATATTTGCATATACAAGCACACACGTATACATTTTCACATGCATATACAGACATGTATACAGTACACTGATATACAGAGAGTACCAAGAAAAGTATACACATTTTCAGAAAGGAAAAAACTGTATTACAATTATAATCTTCAAGTTGCACTTGACTTCTGCAATTACAAGAGATACAAAATACAATATACAAAGTAACAAACTTTACCAGGGTATATCATTGCAATTTTCATAGTTTTTCTTCCTTTCTTAAAATGTGGATCCATGTGTGGCACCCTCCGTATACACATGTTATACACATGTGTCTATAGTGGTGGAGAGGGCATGGCGCACACCTCTTACAGACTACCTGTTTTTAAAATTTAAGTTTTTGCAGTGATCTTTTCTCCTGTTAGTGAGAATTCTTTGTAAATGTTTTATCATTTGCCATATTCCCCCGGGCAGAGACAACACTATCTCAGCCAGCCCGTCCTCTCTGGAGTCCAGCCTTGGCCTCTGTCCGCTGTTTGCCTCCTGACTCCGGGAAGGGGGTGAGGTCCCCACTTGGCCCTGTTTCCTCCTCCTCCGAGGCAGGGTGTGCATCTGATGGCCTTTGCGCTCTCCTCTCGTCCGCAGTGCCCGGCTTCCCGTATCCAGCCGCCACCGCAGCAGCCGCCTACCGAGGGGCCCACCTGCGAGGCCGCGGCCGCACCGTGTACAACACCTTCCGCGCTGCGGCGCCCCCGCCCCCGATCCCGGCCTACGGCGGGTAAGTGGGCAGCCTCCCGGGCGGGCCTCCCTGCACCAGCCCTCCCTCCCTCCCCAGAGGCACGGAGCTGTTTGCGAGCATGATGGTCTTGACTCCCCCCCACCCCAGAACCACCCCAGCATGCAGCCCGGCGCGCCTGCAGTGGAGCACCTTGCAAAGAGTATTGAAAATGAGTGTAATTTGTCCTGTCATGGTCGGTGCCTTTAAGCATTCTACATGCCACATGTTGTTATGTAAATTCTCTCTGAGACTGAGTGCTGGAGAACAGAGAAATGGTTACAGCCAAAGATGTATTTCTGATGATTGCAAACATCTGGTTATTAAGGAGGTTGGACCACATTTGCCCCTTGAATTCCTCCACGGAGAGATGTGAGGTTTTTCATACATAAAAATCACTGGGGTGCTTGCTCTTGATTCTCCCGCCAAAGGCTTCTGGCTCTTCAAGGTTTATGACCCTTTGCCTGAGAAGAGAAAATCAGGTGTGGAGTGGAAAGCAAACCTGTAAGAGTTAATGCCATTGGAATGGAGATATTAGTTGGGTTTTTCCAAAGTGGCATTTGCCTGCCTTTCTCCTCTGTGGGTTTGATTCCTGCTGCTGGTTTCCTCCTTCTGTGGGTGGATGTTGGTATTGCCATGTGAGGATCAGGGAATGGGGGCGAGTGCTCAGGTAAAGACAAGGTGGTACTGATTGGGGGCCTTTCCGAAAAGCTGGTCCCTCTGTCCTGTTAGGGAGCCTGCAAGCATACTCTTATACCCCTGGAGTCAGAAGACAGGGGTACCTCTAAGGTGGTGGCCCTAGGCCAGGGGACATTTGCAAGGTCTAGAGCAGTGGTTCTCAAACTTCCTAATGTCGTGGCCTTTTAAGGCAGTTCCTGTGGGTCACGACCCACAGGTTGAGAACCGCTGGTCTAGAGACACTGTTGATTGTCACAGCAGGAATGGAGAGGTGATGGGACTACTGAGGAAGGTGTAGCGATGCTGTTAACACCCTCCATGCCCAGGACGGACCCCCACCCTGGGCTTGCCAGGCTCGAGGTCAGGGGTGCTGTAGCTGAGAAGTCCTGCCCTTACTCTGGCATGAGGCTTCCCTAACCAGTGACTGGCTTCCTGGTCTGCAAGAAGCAAAGCATGCTGCATTTACGACCATGCAAAAGGAGTTAAATGGATTTTAGAGCTCTTCTGCTTGTGACTTTTAGAAAATCTGAATTAACCCAGATTTCCTCCTTGTTATACTCATGACAAAGGGAAACACTGTTTTTTTTTCATTATTTATTTCTATCTCACCTATTCCAAGCTAGAATGTTTGAAGTGTTTCAAAATTAAGTATTAGAAAACAAAGTTGAGGTTGTCCAAAAATGAGACGAGCCAAGATGGTTAGGAAAGGGAGATAAAGGAAAAGATGACAATAAGATAACGTCCATTGAGTTTCTCAGGCAGTTGTTAGAGTTGGGTCAACTCTGAGCTTCTTAATGGACAAAACAACAGTATATTTTTTTCAAGGATTAATTGGCTATAAATCTGTAAATTCTCCCTAGCTGTCCCCCCCCCCCAATGTTTCTGCATGTCTTAACCCTTGTAGTATAGGACCATGCCATACAAAGGATTGTGGAGAGAATAATCTTTATTTCAAACCCTGTATTATTATTATTTTTGAGCTAGAGTCTCACTTTGTCACCCTCAGTAGAGTGCTGTGGC